CCGTTTTAATATTTTCATTGTGCTTTTGTGGTTTTGCTTATTGCTTAATCTAATTGGAATGGGGTCATTATTAACCATTCCAATGTTTTTGCTCATATTTATTGCTTTCATTTTATTCAAGGTACATGTTAATGTTTTAATCTACATAATGCTCGTACAAATTTTTTACAAAAGCTCGATCTAATTGTGAGATGGGTCATTATTGACTGCTATACATTTTTGCTTATACTAATTTTTCATTGTTCACCTTTTTGTGGGGATGGATTATGGTCTTATATAATGAAAGCTAAATTCTAATAAGAGTTTTATTTCTCATATGATGATATTGCTTCTGATCAGAGATTATTATTATTTGGTAGCAGTTTTGAATACAGAAATGCATACTTAACAAAGGGTACGCTGAAGGAAAACTTACTCATTTTATTTTTATGTAATTCATTGGCAAAAAAATAAACTCTTAATGTTATGAAGAAATAGATGTTTTTGATTTCGTGCATATCGTATTTGTTCTCATATGAAGATTCGCTATTTTACTATAATATTTGCATAATTGTTCTTAATGAAAAATAAATTCAAGTTATTATCACTATTAAAGACTTGTGTATTACATTTTACAATCTGAGTTTAGGCCATATAAAGTTTTGTTTCTCATAACCCGGTCGGGTCAGCTTTTATAAATTTTCGATACAAAATTTTATAAGTTATTTACTATAAATCCTTCCTGGTGGATTTTTAATAAAAATCTTTATACTTTTTTAATATTTTCTAGATAATAAAAAATATAAATTTTTACGATTTAAAGATCAATAATCGGGCAGGCGGTTCACTTTTAGAATTTTATGTTATGAAAAACAATTATTTTATTATGTATGGCCTTATACGACAAATAATTTTACCAATTTATACATTTTTTTTTTCTAAAAACTGAATTTTATTTAGAAATAATTGTGGGGGATTATGCTGAAAATTTTTTTATTTTATTTATTATAAAATGTAAAATTTCAGGTGAGTAGTATTTATTATAAAAAAGTATATATGAATTTTAGCAGCTTTATAGATTTAAAAGGAGACCCCATAATCACCTACTTTATCATAATTTCTGAAATTTAGGATAGTACATTTTGTTTTTTGTTTTTTTTGTGTAAATACAATCTAAAAATGAAGAAATTTCATTCTGATAGTATTTTTTATAAATTGTTATTCAGAAATTCTTCAACAATATTACTTTTAGAAGTCGATTCTTGATAATAATTTTCAGAAGTAGATTGATCGTAAAATGAATATGAGCGATGAAACGAAGGTTCTGAATTAATGATATTTTCAGTATTGTCAATTTCATGTATTCTTGGTTCAGAATGATCAGTTGCTTCTTCAAAATTTGAATAACAAATTACAGCAGGCAATTTATTAGTTGCTGCGAAATTTTGAAAGCCAGGAATTTTGTTTGTGCATAATATACTGTTTAATTTATTAACGTCTTTAAGAAAAAACCATATTAGTTTGAAAAAAAAAAGGTTAAATAATTTAATAAACAAATTACCTAAGTTATCAATTTGATCATAGATATCTTGAATCG